TATTATATACTATTTAGCTATACCGAACTAATTATTAAAAATTACTTTTAACCTATATCCCTTTCAGAAGTTCTATATAGAGGTTCGTTATACTAATATACTTACACCTAACTTTATATTTATTATTTCCTATTCTATACCGCTCGTACGATAATATATCCTATACTATTCTATGTAACTAGTTTAACCGATTTTAATAATATTTTTCCTTTTTACTTTAGTTAGAAAAATCTTATCGGATCGTATAACTAAATTCTTAACGGATATTACTTACTTTACTATTTACGTATATTACTAGTACTAAAATAGTACGAAAATATATAAAATAATTATAATACTATAAATATACCTTTAATAGGTCTCTAAATAAATATATTTACGTAATAGTAATTCGCTTATAGGCCGTACTTTACGTAGGATAAAGAAAAAACACTATAGGCTCGCAGGCCATATAATAAGCACCGGATTAGCCTAATTAGAGGGCTAGAAGTGCCTATACGCATATAAGGCATAAAATACGAAGAAAAATAAAAGTCGATGTTCTGTCTAAAATAAAATGTCCGAAGTAAACTACTTATATACATAGCTCCCCTAAACCCCTGAGTCTTCTGAGCGCCCCGCTTCCTTACTTATACTCTTAGGCCTATAGCCGTACCCTAAACTAACATATTTATACCTAACTTTATATTTACTATTAATAAATCTATAACGCTCGTACGATAATACACTTTATATTATTCTATACAGCTCGTTCAAACAATTCTCATAATAGCTTTCTTTTTCGTTTTAGTAAGAAAAATCTTATTAGATCGTACAACTAAATTCTCAACGGATCCTACCCCCTATTTCCAAAGTGGGGCGTTTTTTTTAATGCGTTTCTCAACGGATTGTACTACAATCCATCGGAGAATAACTAATAGGATATTCGGCTATAAATAATTTATAAGAATTAAAAGTAAATTTTAATTATTTTAATAAATAAAAAGTATTTTATTAGTAATACTTAAAATGATTAAAGCTTAAGTAAATAAAAGATTAGTATTTAGGTTTATAGGTAATACTTATAAATCTAAATACCGAAAAACCTCGATGGAAATCGAACCTATACCTTTAATATAGTAATCGATATACTATATATTATACTACGAGGTTAATAAGTACGAAAGAATTTAAAACTAACTAATATTATATGCTTTTATTATAATAAAAAAAAGTCGAAAGTATATTATTAATAAAATAATTAATAAAATAATATTTAAATTTATAAATATTAATGTGTAGGTACTACTAAGTGCCTTACTTACTACCCTACAGATTAATATTACAGTGGGCAGTACTGCTATAAGCAGTAATGAAACTTCCCGGTTTAGATCCCTTTAGAATATTCTTTACAAAGGACCTTTGAAGGCTTACAGGGCTACTATGGCCTAAAGCTTAGTTAATAGATACTAGAACCTTCCAAAGTAGCTACAAGCTTACGTAGTAAGTCGCTACAATAGTGTAATTAATAGGGCACCTTTGCTACCGAAAGTTTTATAGATTTCCGTAAGTTTATACTAGACCCACTTAAGCCCACCAAATACCCTAAAGTAGTATAGAGGCTTCCAGGGCCTACAGGACCTACAGTAGGCCTACGAAGGCCTATATATAGACCTCTCCTCTCTCTTGTAAAATAGTTCTCTTTCTTTCCTAAAGGGCAAAAGTTTAAGGCTAAAGCTAAAGGTAATAAAGGCAATTCTTATTCTTTATACCTCACTGTATTACAGTGGTTTACCTTCCTTCGGCACTGCCGTCGTATCCTCCCGCTTCCGCTTACGCACTGCTGTATTTTACAGCAACCCTATATAGGTTCTATATTATAGGCCTATCAGGGCTCACCAGCTAACAATAAATTATATTTATAAACTTAAATATAAAACTTTAATAGGAATCGAACCTATACTTTTAACGTCACGGCTAACGTATTATATATCACATCACGAAATTAAAAAGTATAACAAAATATAAGTATAAAAAATATTACACGTTTTAATTACTTTAGGAAGTAAAAGGTATATTATTAGTAATCCCTTACGAAATTAAAAAGGAATGACCGGCTATACTAAAATCGAAAGAAAAGTCGGAAGGCTAATTATGGTTTAAAAACGGGTCTAAGACGTAAAGCAACTACGGAACGGTACTTTAGGCGGCGTCCGGCCGTATAGAAGTATCCGGTAAAGAACTAGGCGGAGCTGCAGTTATAGACTATATTATTTAGGTATCCTCCTCCTGGATACCCCGCGCGAAAAGATATTCCTTATATATACGAAGAGAGTAATATATTTATTTTACTCGAATAAACTTAATAATTAATTATAAAAGTTAGTTTTTAAACTTTTACTCTTTACGTTCAAGCCTATCTTACTTTACTATCGTTCGGGTTACTATCGAGCGGTTAATTACGGAATAAAAAAATATACTTAGGAACGGAACTAACGTTAAACCCGTTATACGAAATTTTATAGCGTATATATTTAGCGTATCGCGAAGATCCGGAGGCTATAATATAAGAGATTCCGGAGGTAAAATAAATAAAGTACGGTATTACGGTAAAATTATAGTAGAAGATTCGTAAGGTAAAGCTAGAAAACTCTTTAATTTTATAATAATATTTCTATATACGATTAAATATAATAAAAGTAAAGAAAAGTAAGGAGAGAAAATTTACGATATTATTAGTAGTGGAAGAAGATTAGGCCGTAAGGGTTTTGGCCTTGAAAGGGAGTATTATATTACGGTTCTAGAAGATAGTAGGGCTACGACGACTAATTAAGGCTGGACCGAGCGATCGAGCGAGGCTTATAGTCTAAGTAGACGGAACGGACTAATAAGATAGGGACCGGGGACCACGGCGGGGCTCACGGTCCACGGTCTAGTATCGGCCAATCAGGAGTAGACCGAGGACCGTCTATAAATCAACGGTCTACGGTCCTAAAGTCTATATATACGGAGGAACTAACTAGTATAGATAGATAATTCCGTTATATATAATATAAGTTACAATCGTAGTATTTTAACTATTATAATTTAAATATTTTATTATGCACTATTCAGCTGCACCGAACTAATTATTAGAAGTTACCTTTAACTAATATCCCTTTTAAAGGTTCTGTATAGGGGTTCGTCACAATAGAGGTTCGCCACACACCTTATTATATTTAGTAAATAATTCCTTAATTTTAACTTCGAACTTCCGTTAACTTTAGAAATATTTACCTCTAATATCTTTTAAATTAGCGGCCTTAATCTCGAAATGACCGTTCATAACTAGCTTAAGCTATATTAATACTTTATCCTTAAATCTAAATACAGCGGATAATACTATAAACTTTTTACTAAAATAATATATTAAAATAATATTAAAAATAATGCTTAAATTATATAAAGAACCTCTAAGCTTTCCGTTTTTTTTACTATAACGCTCCGGTACCGGAAATTTAATTACGTAGTTGGGCCCTATATTAACTGCGATAATATAATCCTTGGCCTATTGAGCTTTCTCTTCTAGCTCTTTAATTTATACGAGAAGCTAATTAAAAGCACTAATCTTTGTATAGTAGCTTATCCTTAGTATACAAGATAGCAAACATATTGCTTATATAAACGGGTTTTTAGTTAGCTCTACTAGTAGTAAAGTTACCTCTAATTTATCCGTAATAAAGTTTAAGCAAGTATATAACGTATACCGAACCTCTATCTAAAATCTTTAAAAGGACTACTTAGTTGAGTATGCTTTTGGACAATCTTAATTTAATGTAGTTAAAGAGTAAACAATAAATAGCTTATTAAACTATAACAGTCTTAATATCAACGAATATAATTTATAATTATACACTATAAAACTATCTACTAACTAGCTAGCTCCTCCGTATATATAGACTATTAGACCGTTGACTGTGAGCCCCGCTCTAGTCTCCGGTCCAGCTATCATTAGTCCGCTTATCCTCCTTCTTATGTCAAACCGTGACAATAAGCCCGAAGACAGAATATATCATATATCCTAGACTGGATTCTTATGTTTGAGAATAAGGTGCCTGCTAGGAAGTTTGCCAAGACAATGGTTAATCTCTTTGACCTGAAGCATGATATTCGCAGCAATGGTCCAAAATTGTCAGGCGAAGACTCAAGCAAAGGTTACTAGGTAGTCATGGGCCTGTAAATGGTTATGCGTATTGACACACAATAGTCTGAGAATATCTAGGTACACGAGTCATGAGTTAATGGATTGCAATTGTAAAATTTGAACTTAGTTGATATCACCTTGAAGCGCTACTAGACTAGTAATTCTACTACACATAGCTCCATCGTAAATACCCATGTGGTGGACGCCAACTGTGCCCACATTACTTTCCTTCTGGGAAATCACTGATCTTGCTAATCTCTCTCCACTCCGCCAAATCCTCCCTAGTCTTATCCAAAGCCTTTCCAATCTCAGCCGTGGCATCACTGCCCAAGGCAAAGAATCCAGGCAGCTCCCTGCCCTCGGCAACACCAGTGCTGGTGACAACATCGTATATTACCTCAGCGCCCTTGACGGGGTTGCCGAGCTGAATACCGTTGAAGTCCTTGAACGCCTGGTCGGCCTTGGCGTTGATTTCGTCGTACTCCTTCATTCTGGTGGAGGCAGGGGTGCCGCTTAAGTTGGCCCCTGGCTTGAGCAAGCTGGTCCGGAAGAATCCGGGCTCGATCAAAGTGTGCTTGATGCCAAAGTCCTTGATCTCCTCGGCAAGACCAATGCCGGCCCAGCGAAGAGCGGCCTTGGAGGCATTGTACAGGTTGCAGCTGTTCATCGGGTACCATGCGGCCATGCTGCCGATGGTGACAAGCGTACCTGATCCTTGCTCTCTTAGTTGAGGAAGAACGGCGCGGTAGAGGTTCAGGGGGCCGAAGAAGTTGGCCTCAAACTGCTTGTACGTCTCCTCGGGAGTGGCTTCTTCGAGGGTGCCGGTCTGGACATAGGCTGCATTGTTGACGACAATGTCGATAACGCCGTGGACGTTGACAATTTCGGCAACAGCCTTCTTCAGATCAGGGAGGGGCTTGTTGTGGTCAAGCTGGACAGCCGTGATGTTCTTGTGGGAGAGATCGACTTTGGCGGGGTTGCGGGAGGCAGCGAGCACCTTGTCACCGCGGGCAGCAGCGACCTTAGCAAGCTCGAGGCCGAAGCCGGAGGAGCAGCCGGTGATGAGCCAAACGCGAGAGCGGGGAGCCATTGTTGGATGATCTTGATAAGTTGATAAGAGTGGTAATTCTGGTCTTGTTGAGTGAGAAGTTGTTGGATTACTGAAAAGACGCCTGCCTTCATATCTGAAACAGCCACCGCCAGAGAGCCTGTGGGAAAGGCTACATCATTTCACCTATATTTGTTTGTGGGTAGTTACCTGGCTAGCCATACGTCACTTGTTCCTTTGTGATGAATCAGACCCTGAGATCTCCCTATCCCCTAACCCCGATCGCCGAAGTGGGACAGCCCCACTACTCCGTCCCGAAATGCAGGATCCCGCATTTAGCGCTGTGCTAAGTGTTACTTTAAATTGGATTCTGCGTCCAACACGCATTGTGGTGCATCTGCCCTCTACTGCCATTACGTCTATCTAGTCTTTCAAAATGCAGGTTGAGGAACGGCAGATGCAGGGAGAGTGCAGAGATTAACACCACTGCTCCTTGATTTCTCTTGCTAAACATCAAACAGAGCTTGCCACCATAGCAGGTTTTCCAATGGCTATGATGTCAGTGGTGACTCCTGGCCAATTGCATTACACGGTTTGATAGTTTGCCGTCAGGCGTATCGCGGCGATTGTGATGGATTGTGTATTTCTCGGATCCTGATTTTTGACTGCCGATCAGCATGTGCGTTTCGGTGTTAGAGGTGGGCATTACTGTTGATCTCGGCGCTCATTTTCTCGACTTAGTGTGGCTAACGATGCGGGGTCATGTATGCAGGGTCTGATTGATGTTTTGTCCCGTTGGCCCGTTTGCCAGCCACCTTCTTTGACAGGTCAATGCTATCCCGTCTAGAATAGTCCGAGGGTGACGCAAGAGAGGCTTCTTTAACTCCGGGTCGTTCCTGAAGATATAGGCATCTCCTGTTAACCCCCATCCTGTTAAAAGACAGGCGAGACAAGATCAGATCGACCACATCGGTAGCACCCAGTCAAGCAATCCTGCGATCCGCTCTATCTGTACGCTTAAACCGATTCACATACGTTTTTCTTTCCCAGACACTAAGGTAGCCTTCTCTTCAACAATTCGCATCAACATGGCTGTCGCAAGAAAGGTCTGGCTCATTACTGGAACCTCCTCCGGTTTAGGCCAAGCCATCGCCAGAGCCGCACTTGCTAAGGGAGATACCGTCGTCGCCACTGCTCGTGACCCCCGCAAGATCTCGGATCTCGCATCAGCGGGTGCCATCACCGAGCGACTCGATGTGACAGCTTCTGACGAGTCCCTTTCTGAGACTGTCAACCTCATCGTTTCCAAAACAGGAGGCATCGACATTCTCGTCAACAACGCCGGTTACATCCTTGCCGGAGGTGTCGAAGAGGTTAGCCGTGACGAAGTGCAAGCCGAATTCAACACAAATGTCTTTGGCCAGCTAAACGTCCTTCGCGCCGTGCTCCCAGTGATGCGCAAGCAAAAGTCAGGAGTGGTTGCGAACCTTGGGAGCATTGGCGGTTGGCGTGGCACCCCTGCTGCCGGTCTATACTGCGCTTCAAAGGCGTGTGCTGCCATCATCTCTGAGTCGCTACGTGCAGAGGTGGCCCCCTTGGGTATCCAGGTGACAGTCATCGAACCTGGCTACTTCCGAACCAACTTCTTGGCCCCAGGACACAAAGTCTGGGCCAAGAACAAGATCGAGGACATCGCCCCGGTTGTGGGAGCGACGAATGACGCGTTTGAGGCTTACGACCGCAAGCAGCCCGGTGACCCCGAAAAGGCCGCTCAGCTGATTGTGGAAGCCTTGACCGGAACTGGTAGGGCCCAGGGACGCCCACTGCCTGCAAGGTTCTCCGTCGGGAGCGATGCTTATCAGATTGTTAGTGGTATCTTGGACAGTCAAAAGAAGGAACTGGAGGAGTGGAAGGACTTGAGCACTACCACCGATCACATAGACTAAGACGTCTTTTCTTTTGCACCATAGAGGTATTCATGGTATCCGGATATGTGGCTTCTTGGAGTTAGTGGTTACAGACCTATATCAGAGAATAAATCAATCTCACGTTATCTCACGGGACGTATTTGCAATTGTAGCATTAAGGCTTCCTTAACTTTGTTAAGACAACGAAGGGGCAGAAAAGACCTCTTCTACTTTCTTTTCTTGAACTAGAATTAGCAAAGAAAGTGATGGCATTGATCTTTCGTCTTGTTACGACGGTTTGCTAGGTACCTTAGCTAAGGTACTTTGAATTCAGGTTCCAACACTGGGCAATTCATCCACTCAAAGAAAAAAAAGAAACAAAAAGCCAATACATCCATTCGCAGAACCCCAAGCCAAGATTGAGATCCGCCTTCTAACTAGGTACCTATCTCACCCTTCTATGCGTACAAGTATCACTCAAGAAACCCCGTCGCCTTCCATTTTCTTACATATCCTTCGACCACCTCTTTCGCAACCCCGCTTTCACTCTCCAGTGTCTTAGACACTGGTCTAGACAGCTTGGTGTCCAAAACAATCTGTCCTTGGCCCAAGACCCGAAAGTCTTGTTCAAAAAAGTCTTTGAGGGAAGCACTGATTGCACCAGACTTTGTCGCAAGGACCAACCACTCTTCAAACGGCACAAGTGTACCGTCTACTCGACTTGGTTGTACGTCCATCTCTCGCCCCATGATTGCAATGATGTCTCTCATCGGCTGCCTGATCGGGTTTTCGAGATGCAGAAACGGTGGCAAGACTTGCGGCGACAGCAGCATCTCGGTAAGGGCTTGGGCTGCATGGTCTACTGGCAACCATGATACAGTCTAGATATGTTGTGTGAGTAATTGTACGGATTTTGAATCCAATATAAATGACTTACCCCCTCCAAGTCCGGCCAGACCCCCAGCTTCTGGCAGGCCTTCACCAACACCGGCATGTGCTCCCCAGTCTTCCAAAGCCCACCCCCCTTCTTGTCTGTATCTGCTGGCCCTGACAGCTGCCCGATCCTGACAGTTACACTCTCGGCCTTATCGCCCTGTGACTTGAATACTTCGGCAGCCTCTTTCATTACGCTTTCGCAAACCCACTTTGCCTCGGCATACCCCATTTTGACCGGCGCGTCTGCTTCGACAGGGCCTTCCGGCACCGGTCCATCGCCATCGAAATAACGCACAGCGGCAATCGAAGAGGCAAAGACCATACGCACCCCAACCTCTGGTCGAAGGGAAGATGCCTTTTGGCAAAGCGACAAGAGGTCGCAGAGGAGGTCAAGATGCGTACGGAAGGAAGGCAGTGTGAGCTGAAAGTCCATGGGCCAGGCGAGATGGAGGATATGGGTAACTTCCGATGCGAGAGAATCCAGGGGAAGGTGGGTTTTGCTGTCAGAGTCGAGAAAGGTGATCTTGGACCAGGAGGCTTCCGGGAGAGGGGGGAGACCAGCTGACGAGATGGTTTGCGTTTGGTAGCTTTTCCGAGGGTCGCCCGTAAGGGGAGAGACAGAAGCTGCTGCTCGAGAGCCGCGCATTAAACAGATTATTTTTGTTACCGATGAAAAAGAAGACAAACGGGACAGAACATGGGCGCCAAGGCTACCGGTGCTGCCTGTCATCACGACAACGAGTGGGTTGGTGGTAGACGGCCGGGAAGAATCGAGTCGTTGAACGTACTCATCCGCCAAAGCCTTCATCGCATCCGTTCGACTATTGGGCTTCTGGAGAGATTCAGTTGACTCGCCCTCCACCAATAGCGTTCTGATGGCATGAGAAAGCAGGCTCAATGTTGGGCGACGATACACAAACTCGGCCGTCAAGCTTTCTTCCTGGCAGTTGCCAGATCGTCTGAGGGAAGATGTGATCTTCCTTGCAAGCTTCAGGCTCTGTAACGAGTCCAAACCTCGTTCGAAAAAGTCATCCTCGCTCCCTAAACTGCCTGCCTTGAACGACGGACTGACCACGTCTCTCAAGAGCATTCTGAGGACATCTTCGACGTTGTCGACATCGAAAACCGCTCCATCGTCGCTTGATCCCTCTGCATCGATAGCCTGGTAGGCTGCATCAATTTCCGCTCTGAACATTTCCGCCGTCTCCCTACGCATAACGCTGCCTTTATCTGACCTGGGTATGGTTTTGCCGTCTGTGACAAATATGATGGCATGTTTGGAGCTCACTCTTGCATGAGCATCCAGCGTCTCATTTGCTTCCAGAACCAGCGCCCAGATCTGCTCTCTCAGCACTTCCAGGTCTGTGGTGGCAGAAGGAGAGGGCTCAACTAGCACCGCCATTTCGAATCGACCCTGGCCGACACAGACAGCTGTCTTGACATTTGCATCACCAGTCAGAAGGTCCTCCAACGTCCTCGGCATAATCTTCTCTCCGGTTTTCAATACAATAACATCGTCCACTCTCCCCAACACTCTTACTTCCATGCCCTCCCCGACATCGCAATCAGGATTTAACTGCATGTCATCTTGGATCTCAAAGTGCTTTCCTCCCCATCCACAGGGATACCCAATCAACCGATATGACTTTGCAGCTGGAGAAGCAGGACGCAATTCCAGCCCCAAGTCAGATCTTAGCCTCAAATACCGGTGGTTGTATCCAGTTCCTGGAGTGGGACAAAAGATGGGCGCAATGGCGCCTATTTCCGTGACACCATAGTGATTCAGCAACCTAACACCCTTTTCGACCAGGTTGTTGGCAACGTCAGGGCTCATTGCCCCACCCCCTACAGCGACAAATTCCATCTTTCTCAGCAGCGCAAAGGCAGTGCTTTGTTCCTCGACGGATGGCAAAGAGAAAATATCCTGCAAAATTGAAGGGACGCTCATCAGCGACCTTGCTTTGGACGCTTGAAGGATCTCCAGAGTCGACTTTGCAGCGGGGATGATGGAAGAGGGCGGCAGACAACATGTCAATCCCACCGAGAGCGAGAGGGCAGGTGCTAGAAGTCCGAAACCGTGGTACAAGGGTAATGTTGAGAGGTTGACCCAGGAGGGAACTTCCGAAGACGGGAACTGATGACATGCGGCATATCCCAGCAGGTAACGATGAGGAACGGGGATGGGCTTTGGCAGTCCGGTGGTGCCTGATGAGTGCAGTATCAGGGCTGTGTGGCCCAGCTTGGATTCATCACCCACTTCGGGGACAGGTGTCTTGGTATCGCCGTTGCTGTCCAGAAAGGCTTTATAAGGCTCAGTGGTGATGATCTTGGCAGCTGATGGCCCGCGTGCAATTTCGGAGCTGATTACTTCCGTGCGTTGTGACACGAGGAGAGTGCCCGCATTGGTCTTTTGGAGCAGATGTAAAATGCTGTGGGCTCCAAGTCTTGCCGATAGAAGAAGAGCGGGGATATTGAGACTCAACAAGGCGCTGAGGTGAATAAACAAACCGATGTCGCTCTCCATGTAAAGAGCCACCGGGCGGGCTTTGCTGGAACTTCTGTCGGCATGACCAGTTTGGAGCGAGGCACGAAGCCACTCTGCGCATGCCCCAATAGATCTGTCCAGCTGCGCAAACGTGACTGGTTGAATGATGTATGACTGCCTCTCCCTGTTGCTGTTGCTCTCTCGACGATGACATTCGACCTGGTGGCTGAAGATGTGATTTGGGTTGTTGATGGCGTTGAATGCAATGAGCCCCGGCAGTGAGGAGATCTCATTCGGTTTGGCCGGCTTACCACCTCTTCTTTCTGGTGGAAGCGGGCTAAAGGCAGGCCTGACAAACTCTCTCTCCTCAAAGATTCCCATAGTTGACTAGGTAGTTGCGCGTTGATCTAGGTTTTTGTGAGGCGGTGATGGGATTACAAAAATAAAGGACGAGTGACTGGAAGGCAAAAGTCCCTGTTTAGACCATGGTTTGATTCGACGAGAATCCCACATTATGAACCAAGTGGTAAACTACTGTTGCAACTCCGCAGAATGCTATTTGCGCAAGTAAAACGCTCGGGCTTTGCTGTCGCCACTTTGCGGCGTGGTTGACAGACCGGAGTAGAGCCCACACAAGATCGTCACGACATCGGCTTCTCGGGGACCGGAGCCTGCCACAGTCACTTGTAAAGAACAGATTTGACGGCGATAGCGAGATATTTGGAAAAGCCATGTCTTTACCTCCGACCACGTCATATAGTCCAAAAAGGAAGGAGAGCCAAGATTGGGGGTTTAATGTGGGCTGCAGGGACCAGTGTAGTCAGGTCAGGCATACATGCAACCCGTCATGTAAACAATGAGGTCAAGCGGCAAAGTCGCAGGTGGTGCAACTATCTTGGCAAAGCTTGACCTGTTGCCCAAAGGAACAGTTGAGAGTGCTTCAACGAGGATGTGGAAAATGAGGGATGAGATGGAACAGTCTGTTCTCCTCGTTGTCCTTGGCTGGAGCAACAATCTGATAGTCATGAGGTCTCAGGTTGGAGCCTCTGGAATTTATCATCTCTTTGTTGTTGGGAGCGTGAAGTGCTAACCTTTGACTATCGGCCGACTGTTTTTTGGCCGCCGAGTAGCGGCATTTGACTGGAATGGGTCACATTCACATGGTGGTATGGATGGCGAGGGCCAGTTGCCCGCCATTTTCTGGAGTGGAGTACTCCCTCCCTTGGTAAAGCAGGATACCTTAAAGTCTGGCCTCTTCCCTGCTTTTTCAACTTGCTTCTCCTCACACACACACACATCAACTGCATTCAAAAAGGGAGCATCTCTTTGGCCTTTTGCACTTGTTCTTTCAACATAGACTTAAAAGTATCTCGAGTTGTTCGCACAGCTGCCCTACCAACTTGGACAATCACCCATACAGTCTACCTTAACATGGCCGACGTACTGCTCTTCCCCGGCCAGGGGTCGACCTCACACTTTTCAGACCACGAGACTATCCATCAAATCCTGGACCAGCTTGGACAAGAGCAAGCCGTCTTTGATGGTTTTGTCCAAAGCTGCAAAGATCACTTCCAAGAGGAATACAACGCCCTTTCTCCAGAAGATCAATCATCAGTTG